CTCAAACCCAGTATGGGCAACCAGTTTTCAGCTACTGTGCTTGCTTTGTGTGACTTGCCTCTCTGGCATCGAGATTTGAAGACTTCAACTTTGAGACTCCGCTCCTTTGTCTGTGTTCGTCGAGTCCGTCAGTCTTATCATGTGTGTGTGTGCTCTCTCTCTCTCTCCCTCTCCTCTCCTTCCTCTCTCTCTCTCTCTCTCTCTCTCTCTCTCTCTCTCTCTCTCTCTCTCGGCGCGCGCGCGCGTGCGCCGCGGCTAGCCTCATGGTACTGCGCCCTCCATAGGATGAGCAAAATCGAATGAATCTGGTTCTACAGCGTGGGAATATACATTGCCTTACTTGTTTTTGTGTGAGTGTGTGTGTGAGAGAGAGAGAGAGGGGCGGCGAGGTCGCCGGCTCTCTCTCTCTCTCTCTCTCTCTCTCTCTCTCTCTCTCTCTCTCTCTCTCTCTCGTTGCGGCTGGCCTCATGGTACTCCGCGCTTGCTGGATGAGCAAACTTGAATGAATTTGGCGCTATAGCGTGGGAATATACATAACGGTGTTTTCGTTATAAGTGAAATTGTTTTCATGTTCATTTTTTTTTTTAACTGTAAAATGACAGAACGAAATGAGGAAATTATAGACGAAATAACGACAAAGCAAAATAACGATAAAGCAAAATAACAACAAATCGAAATAACGACAAAGCAAAATAAGGACGAAACAATGTTTATAGCAATGCAAAGTTGAAGGAACGACAAAACAATGAGAAAAAATTAATGTGACAGTCATGCTCTCGTGTTGCCTGTGCTCAAAATATAATACAATGTCAAGTTTTTACCTCGAATGTTTACACTCAGTAAACATGTCAATCTCATCAACAAAATATTAACTACGGACTGTAGCTTTAGTCGCACCTCATTGATTTTCCTATCTAATCATGGATAAAATGTCAAATGCTATTCTAAGCCTCATATCAGAAATATTGGCTTGTGAGAAAGCAAATGGAGGGAAGTGACCTCTTGCAAGCAAAGATGCAAAACCTAACATAAAAACACCACAATTACAAGCATCCTCTTGAGCAGGAATCCCATCTACTGATGTATCAAAGGAGGATGTAGGCCCGTCCACATGATATCTTTCGCGAAGATTGTGTCGATGAAACTCCGCTTCAAAAAAATCTTTCAAATGTTCAAGGACTGAAACATAGTCAGCACGAGGGAGATAGTCTATGAGGTGGAATTTACAATTCAGACCGTCTATACTGACATGAGTTAATGCCCAGTGATTTTCAAAATGAAGAGGGATAATCACTAAGTCATAATCAAAAAGATTTGTGTCCTTCACCCATTTCATCCCTTCGGAATATGCGGTTTCAAACCTCAAAGGACCTGACAATCGAGTGAAGAAAAAAGAATTGAAAATGTACACGAAAGGAACTTTATCTCTTGTCACTTCTGTACATGCCGAATTAACCTTGATGTGATCATTGGTGATCTGGACGGCTAGCAGGTACAAATTGACGACTTCGTCATTTAGCCATTTCCCATCCTCGACGACGACCATGATGTCTTCCTTTCCCACCTTCCAGCTCCCCTTGTAATCGACAATGCCGTATGCTTCATTGTCTTCGCTGCTGCCTGTAATCATGTTAAGATACTCATTTTCTTCTACGGTGAGACGTTTTGTTGCTAAAGGAATCTGGAACGAAGGGTCATGAACTGCATACAAACACACATATAAACAACAATGGAACGACTAAGACTTCATACAAAAACGAACTTTTCTTTATGTGATGTACGACGTAGACCCGAGTTCATGTTTTTGGTTGTCTATCTGTTTCGCTGTCAGAGCTGTCATCCACAATAGATAAACTGCAACCTTCGCGATGCAATTTCTTCCCTTCTCTGAGGCTTATTCCAACAACTTTAAACATCCTTAGGGCATCTGGCTTCATAGATGAAAATGTCATGGGTGTAAGTCTTCTTCTCTCTTTTTTGGACAATAACGGCAAAGTCGATAAGGCTTGCAAGCCACGACGAATAATATTATTCTCACTCTGCCTTTGCGAACGTACGTGCGTCGTTTTCCACAGTTCTTTTCGTCGCCCTGCATGTTCAGCAATATAAAATGACAATGATTGACAAGACAAAACATTATGAGTTTAAGTTCAATTTTCCACATAATTGCAAATAAGAGATACACAATATTATACTTCATTTCTTCTCATGACCGAGTGCACGGTTGCAAACCTAAGCAAAAAATTAGTTCCTATGAGATGAGTGCATGTACCCCCTAATCCGCATACAGTATTAGATATTCCCTTAGAGATAAGTACGTGCTCACCTCGGTGGCTCACTAACGCATTGTCTTCAACACGACCTTCTATCGCACCATGCGATTGTGTAAAAGAAGATTCGTCGATAGATATCACGAGGTTAGCAGACTGTTGTGCTTCTGATTTTGCAACCATAAGTTCAGGCTGTACAAGCGTATGTTGCTCCCGTGTACTTCGTACTATATGTCCGTCATCCTCTTCGATGGCCTGTACATTGGCAGTTTCGTTTGCACCTGCAGTCGCGCTTTCATTCTTCATGTCCAGAGAGACTTCATGCTCATCTTTCTCAGCTGGCATATCCAATGACATCTCTAATTCTGCAAGTGCACCAGTATTATCCACTTGCGCAGTAACACTCTCGCTCGCCAACACAGTGGTCGCCCAAACTTGGTCATCCGGAAGGACGTCCTCGACACATTTCGGCAGTTCTCCATGACTTACGCCCTTAACGCTTGCACCGCCGCTTCCTCCCAAATCCTGGCCACTTGCATCGCCTCTCGATCCCCTGCCATGTGCACCGCCGCTTGGTCCTAATCCCAGAGGCGAACCCGATCCCCTGCAATGTGCACCGCTGCTTGGTCCGAATCCCAGAGGCGAACCCGATCCCTTGTCATGTGCATCGCCGCTTGGTCCTGATACCTTTCCCTCTGTTGCTTGACGCCCTTGACACATTTCGTGTTTTTGCAGTTCACCATGACTTATTGGCTTTCCACTTGCACCGATGCTCGGTCCCAGGCCCTTGCCACTGACACTGCCACATGGTTCCGATCCCTTGCCATGTTCACCACCACTTGATCTTGTTCCCTTGCCAAGCGCACCGCCGCCTGATCCTGATCCTGATCTCTTGCCACTCTCATCGCCGCTCGCTCCTTTCCTTTCCCCAAATTTGTCTTCAAGTTCCTCTTCGATACGCCAATTATATCCAAAAGCTGGACTTGTTTCTCGATCATAGAACTCTTCCAGATACTCAAGCCATCGAGATATTTTGAACTCCTGAAAGATTTCGTCTGTCCTTGCATCCAGTCTTGATTGAGAAACCTTCGGATTAAGTCGCAGTAGTCGCTTGCCAATCTCATTTTTGGCGTGTGTGACAAACTTGGATCGTGACATACGTCTGTGGAGGCAAAATTGTCACTCCCCTTCTTCTTTTATAGCCATTACCCAGTTCCCTCTCGCCAATGCAGGTTGGAAGTGGTGGGGGTGGCATATAATGTGACCCCATACGTTGTCAGGCATCACCGTATAATCGTCTCGGCACACAACAGGTCCAAGAAGCCGTGCAATGTTCGGAGGGATGATGTCTTCAATCTCGTACTTCAAAGGCTCAGACAGAGGTGGTTGAGGAGTTTGAGAGCGTAGCAATTCCAAAACAGTAGCCGGACTATGTGCAAGTGCTGACAGACTTGCCATAACCTCTGGGGAGAGAATTGCCTGCACCCTCGGATCATCCCGAACTGCGCGGAAGATAGCGTTGTTGTGTTGCCCGCCATGTAACTGGTCCGTTGAAACTGGTCCGTTGTCACTGCCATACTCGAAGCCCCCCCAGAACCGGACGATGTGCCCGACGCACCCATCTTCTGCGAAGCCGAGCTACAAGTTTTTTGCCTCTCATCTGCCAAAGCCGCTTGCAAAGTACCATCTTCACTTTCTTCCTCTGAGTCCTCAGCATCGGAGCCTTCCCCA